ACACTTAAAATTAACTGTGCTTATTAGGTAATTAAAATTAATTAGTCATTCTTATGCAAGTGAGTAAAATATGTTTTCTTGTACGACCTCGTGAGAAACTTCTATTTGTTGTAAATAATTTACCTAAGCTAAGCTATTTTATAGTCACTAAATAAAAAATAATAGAAAAGATGGCGTAATTATTTCAAACGGTTTAATAAGATATCTAGATAAAAAGTGGACTAATTGAATAAAGGCAGAGTACACAGCTGAAAGAGTCGAGTTTGTATCTAGCGAAATTTTTCAGTGAACAAAACATCTTACGGGAAAATGTTCAGGATGAAAAATACTCAACATTTTACAATCGTATAGAAATCATTTATATGTTGACATAATAAATAATATAGCAGACATTTCATAATGATATCGTTTATGTCTCTTATACTATTATTTTTATATTTTCATGGACTTATTGATGTCAACTCACTTTTGTTTTGCGATTTCTCGATATAAAATAAAAGAACATTTCATATCATTGATTAAATCATTAAAAGAAGGGTTCGCTTTGATCAGTATACGACTATTTACTCATTAAGACTCCATTAACTAAGGTCAGTTCTTGTTTGTTTTTAAATAAAAACTTGATGGGCAACAATAAAAAGCATTATTTCTTTTGAATGTTTCTCTTATTTTAGGATGAACAAGAAATAAATCGACGCAATAATGAATTCGTCAAAAAAATACTTCAATTAACAAATCAAGGTGTCGCAGTCGATAAGGCGATGTGCGAAAGTTTATGTGCTCAAATTGGTCTTTCACCAGATGCTGATATTTAAAAAGCCATTGATATTATTTAATCGTTATGGATATGAAACTGTCTGATATTCTTTCCTTCGTACGTTCTTTTTTTACTCTTCTATTTGTCCCGTTGCTTGTCTTCTAACAACATTTACGTATGTTCATTAACAAACAAGTAGATTATTGTTCTCAACTTTCTTTGTTGTCTCTGGTTTTTTTTCTGATACATTGGTTTTTTTTCTTTATAAACAGATTCATTTGGTTGCTCCACATTATGTAACTGATACAAATCTCTAAATTTATATTCATTCTCACATTTTATTATTGCCTAAGGTAATGGATCGAAATCCGAATAGATTCAAAATCGAACCGAATCCGATTCGATTTAGTACATACCTATTCTTGACTGAATATTATTAAAAGTTTAGATAAAGTGATGCATACTGTTATGAAAAATATAAATGGTTGAGAAAATCTCGTGTTTTATATATTTATTAAAGATAATCAAAGTATAATGAAATATCAACAGGAATTTATTGAAACTTGAAAACACATCTTGTTAGAGAATTTATTAAAGAATAAAAAATTCAACAAAAAAGCAGCAAG